GAGGGGGGGGGGGGGCAGTACTCAACGTAAGAACATCATGACCGTGCTTGGGGTTCAACCACCAAAAGCTAATCGACTCTCCGTGTATGATAACCATACCCTGAACCCGACGCCCAAAAATAACCATTGTAATTTGCGGATTTCTTTGGGAGGCATGTGGGTAGAAGGCGGGAGAGGTCCTTCCAGCTATGGGCTATGTAGGGACGACGTCACCTGTTAAGCGCCCATTATATGCCTCCTAACCCCTATCAAGATACCCAATGATAATCTTATATGTCCCCCAAACCTGTCAAACATGTTCGTGCAAACATGCAACAATCCCAGGTACCCAATGATGAGCTACATTGACACGTAGGGAACGCCTCCATTTCGAGCGGTGATGCCTGAAACCCCAAAGCCTAAACCATGAATCCTTAACCCTAAAGTTGCATGTAAGTTTTAGGTTTCCTACTCAGAACCTCCAGAAGGCTTACCTGTAATCCCAAGTGCCTACAGTGTTGTGGGTTATGCTTACTAATTTGGGGGTCATTATGACTAAACTGTATATAAATAGATGGGGTTGCAAGGAAGTACCTTAATCTGTCTAGGCTGTAACTGTAGCGTTCCCACATAGAACCTGGTTATTATTGCCAATGAAGCTGCCAGAAGCGGCCCTAAACCTCTGAATCGCAATCCTTGAAACCCAAACTCCTTCAAGGGTGGTCATATAGGAGGCCATTATGGGGGTTATTAAGGGGGATGCTAGGAGTTTAGACCATGGTTCAGTTTAGGGCTTAGGGCCCAGTACTCTGGAAACAGAAACCCCTCGCCCGAAAGCTCAAGCTTCAAAACCTAAAATTAGCTATAGTCTAAACTCCTTCAAGGGGGGATATATACGGGATTGGAACGGGGAATACTATAGGGGTTATTCGGAGTTTAGATTATAGCTCAAATCAACAGCTTCATCCAAAACATCGCAAATGAGATATGCTCAGGCCCAAGTCATCGATATGGGAATATGTACCCTATACCCAGACCCTCCATCTACCCTCTATATACCCTACGTACCCAGTATTAGGGACGATTTCGCCCTATTTAAGGGCACAAGGTCTTTTTTAACAGAGCGTATGTACGAAAACTACTTGGGCCTGTCCTTTAACCCTTCCACCCCAATCCCAAAACCCTATTCCAGAATCAAATTCCCTATACGTCCTTTACCTTCTAAACCCTACATCTTGAATGATCGCCCCTGATCCCAGAATGTGGGCGTGTCTGAACATACTCCCTATAGAATTGTTCTCGGCATCCCATGGTTGCCTTTTGAAAGACCATCCTATAGATGCCCATTATCCGCTCTCCCGCTCCCTATGTAGCCCCTTAGCCCTAAACCCTTAACTCAAAATCCTTGGCTCTAAGAATACGATTGCCCATCAGCCTATTTTCTTTAGACCCTTGCCGCCTCGGACCTAAGCTATCAACCCTCTAGCCTACATATCCTTTTATCTATCCTACTTTCTGGCTACACCACCCTATATAACCCCATATAGTCCCTATAAACCTAGCTATTAACCCTACTGCGCTCTCAGAACCTTAATGTTAAAGGTTTTTGGAGGGAGCCTTAATGTGGCCCTTAGTACCTCGCGGATTAGGGTTTTAGGGTTTAGGGGTTTAGGGTTTAGGGCGGGGTGACATGAGGGCTACCCAGCTTAATAGGGGCCTATTGTGACGGCCATACGGGTGGCTTGCGCAACCAAGCCCTACTTATTCTGAAAGGGGGCCCCAAAATCCGAAGCCATAAACCTCAGAATATATACCCGCAGTCCCCAATAATAGTGCTTCTATAAGGACATGGGATTAGGGGTCCCAGCATTTTTTGGGGTTGAATGCATAGGGATTGGGTTTGGGAGCCCAGGCGCTAAGTAGGCAATATCCTATAGACTCTAAGTACAAAAATGGGCAATATGGATAGGGTTTAAGGTTTAGGGTTTAGGATCCTTTCATAATTCGTTTGTCCACGACGTTTCCCATGCCTTCGGGCCTTCTCCTTTGAAAAATGACAGTCTGATACTTCAAGTATTTGTAGCCCCGAGCCCTATACCCATAGATTATCCATATGTATGTATATACATTAATCCTCAATATGAATCCCTCTACAAAGGACCCCAGAGCCTACACCCTAAATCCTGCATCACCCGTGAGTCCTAAACCCTGAACCCTAAAACCCCAAAACCCTAAAACCTAAAACCCTAAAACCTTAAAACGCTAAACCCTAAGCCCTAATCCCTAAACCCTAATCCCTAAACCCTAAATCCCTAAATCCCCGAATCTCTAAATCCCTAAATCTCTAGACCCTCTCAGAAGCCGAAGCAACGCCGCGCCTCCTCCACTGCTTCACGCGGAGCCCGGAGGCGAGGATGAGCTAAGCCCTAAGGGTCCAAGGACCCAAATAATAAGGGTTCCTTTAAAGGGATTATAGGGGGCTATATATATGTATATATATATATATATGGATATTGGGGGACCCTATAGGGGAATATACCCAAAAAAATAGGGTCTTAGGGCCCAAATACTATAATATTAATTGTATTTGGGCCCTAAAATCCTATTATTTGGGTCGTGGGGATCTGTCAGTCGTTCTTTCGGTTTCCTACAGGTATACTCATTTTAAAGGTAAGAGTCTAGGGTTCAAAAGGTCTCCTGCGAGCTCAGAAAAAAATTGCGGACTTAGGACCCATTTTGTTATTGGCTTTCTTCTGCGAATGCTGCTCGTGTACTGGTACCATTATGGTACTGCGCCAGTACCACCGCACACGCCACCACTCACCGGCACCGCCACCATACACCCCCTCAGCCGCCACTGTCGCCGCCCCCACTGCCTCCACTGCCTACCGCTGCCGCCAGTACCATCAGTGCCGCCAGCAGCATCAGTGCCACAGCACCACCAGCACCATCGGCACCGGCACAAACATGATGCTTCGATCCCTATACATCAGAAGCCTGAGCAGCGCAAGTGTGCTGTATGCCACGTTACGTGATTCACTTGCATGAGGATTCAACCTTATACCTATAGATCCCAAGTTCAAAGCCTGACAGCGCCATGGCCCCCCAACGCTCCCAGATCTCGAATGCTCAAGTCGAGGCAACCTTACCAGTACTAGACATTAGTAGGAATACCTGAAATCCAAAAATATGTAGAATGATGGCTTGCTGGGCCATATTTAGGTGACTTGGGCTATTATGTTACCTACGGGGTTCAGGTAGTATGCGGAACAGATGAGGGCGGCCCCATCCCCAAGAACTTCCTAAAGTCTCCATCCTATGTCCAAATGTAAGAAACTAACCCTAAGGGCCAAATGGCCCAAATTGCGCAAACTATGGCCCAAAGTCATGGGGGTTTGGGACCCTAAACCCTATAAACACTAAGCCTTGGACCCTTGAGGTAGCTGCAAAAAAATCCCAGCACCTTCCTTGTACCCTTAATTGGGGATATATGGTCCCTAATAGCGGGTACTTAGGCCCGAATAGAGGGTCCCTAAACCCTAAACCCTAAACCCTAAACCCTAAACCCTAAACCCTAAACCCTAGCCTTGGGTTCTTGCTGCAGACTCAGGCCCCCTCGACCGGAGAGGGTGCGGACCAACTGGGGACATCCCGAAGGCCAGCCTTCTTCAGGGTTCCAAAGTCTAAATCTCACTTTATTTGTGTAGCAATACCTGAACCCCAAAAGTATGTAAAATAATGGCCCTCTGGGCAAATTTTGGTGTTTCGGGCTATCATTTTACTTACTTTTGGGGTTCAGGCAATAGCAAGAGACGGTATAAAAGTAAGATTCGCAGGAAGAGTAGTAGCGATGGAGATGGTTTTCATAGTCGTGCAAGAATTAAGATTAAAGTGACTAAAGATACCCCTATCTTGAAATATAGCCAGTCAACTGGAATGTTATCCTAGTCAGAACCCAATTACAACAGCTCTAAACCCTTAGCCCTAAACCCTTAACCCTGAACCCTTAAAGCCTACCCATGAGCCTCCAAGTAGAGGTCAAGGGAGGTTAGAGCTTTGTCCCGGCTTGAAGCTTGAGCTCCTGCTTGCTACACCTAAGGGATCTCCGTTTAAAGGGATATGTGAGCCATGATCTGAAGTGCTTTAAGGGGATTATGAGGGGTTAGTAAGGGGGAATAGGAGTTCAGGCTATAGCTCATACAGGGGAATTGTATATGAAGTAGGGTTGTTCTTATAGACTTTAGTGAGTGTATGTAGTGTCCCTTAGGAGTAGTGGTGAGGGTGCATATATGGTATCCAAGGTGGGGGACCATGAAGTGAGACCAAGGGGTATTTAGTGGCACGGTGGATACTAAAAATCCTGCATGACCCGACGTACCTCATACCCTCAGAATTATGGGACGTTGTTTTGGCTTTCGACAGCATACGCGTATGTGTACACATATACATGTGTAGAACACGTATCCTTGCTGTGCAGGTAAGAAGTTTGAAGATCTCGAAGCCGATTCTCGAGTTGACGGCGCCTTGACAGCAGCAATTGGCCTGAAGGGTGCAAGTACATAATTATGTATGTATGTATGTATG